AATTATGAAAAAATTTAGAAATTGGATATTAGGCATAGTGATTCCGAAAGAAATAAATAAGATGTAAAAAATATAAGTCACTGCTTAATTTTAGTGGTGATGGATTGTATGAAGAAAGTAGTATTAAAATCAAGGTAGGTAATGGGATAGAAGATTTGGATGAATTTAAATCTTTCATTTAAGTACTGTATTAGATTTTAATATCAGATTGGATATTGAGTTTAATTTTTTAGAAAATTATAAAATGTAAAATAATATTAAATGTGTTATTTTAGTGGAGGAGAATCTTATGATTAAGAAGGCTAAAGGATTAAATTGGGTAATTGGGTGTAATTTTTAATGAATTTCAAATTTGTCATAAGTTATGAACAATGATGAAATAAAAATTTTGGGAAATGTGCTATAGGTATTAACTTTAATTAAATACGATAAATATTAAAATATATTTGATAAAAGGTATAATATATTACAACAAATTCATATAATAAAAAATGATGTGTAAATAAATTTATAATGTTTAACTTAATTAATGTGAAATTGTCAAATAATATTAATATGTTTTAATAGATACAATAAATAGGAAAAATAGTTTATTTATGTTTCCTATTTAGCTAATTGATATTATTGGTCTTTGTAAAGTAAAGACATTCTAAATAATAATTTTCTCAAATTTGCAGGTACAATAAATTGTTTAAGATAACTATGATATATATATTTTATTAATAATATTTTATAAATATTCATTTCTTATATCTTAATTCCATAATTAATTTATTAAATTCATTTTTGTCTTCTTTGCAATAAAAAAGTGCTTGCTTGTAATTATCGATAGCTTATTAATACTTCTTCAATTGAGATAGTAAAGCACCTATTACAATAAATTAATTATTAACCCTTATTATAATAAGCCGATGCATCATTAGGATCAAGTTGGATTGCCTTGTCATAACAAAATATTGCATCATTATATTTCCCAAGATTATTTAATGAATTACCTATAAATATAAATTAATTATTAACCCTTATTATTATAAGCCAATGCAAAATTAAGATCCAGTTGGATTGTCTTGTCAAAATAAACTATTGCATCATTATATTTTTTAAGATTATATAATGAATTACCTATTACAATAAATTAATTATTAACCCTTATTCATATAAGCCAATGCAAAATTAGGATCCAGGTGGATTGCCTTGTCAAAACAAACAATTGCATCATTATATTTTTTAAAATTATATAATGATAAACCTATTACAATAATTTAATTATTAACCCCTATTATTATAAGCCAATGCAAAATTAGGATCAAGTTGGATTGCCTTGTCAAAACAAACTATTGCATCATTATATTTTTTAAGATTATATAATGATAAACCTATAACAATAAATTAATTATTAACCCTTATTATAATAAGACGATGCATCATTAAGATCCAATTGGATTGCCTTGTCAAAACAAATAATTGCATCATTATATCTTCCAAGATTATTTAATGATAAACCTATTACAATAAATTAATTATGAACCCTTATTATTATAAGCCAATGCAAAATTAGGATTCATTTGGATTGCCTAGTCAAAACAAACTATTGCATCATAATATTACCCAATATTATATAATGAATAACCTATAAATATAAATTAATTATTAACCCTTATTCATATAAGCCGATGCATCATTAGGATCCAGTTGAATTGCCTTTTCAAAACAAACTATTGCATCATTATATTTTTTAAGATTATTTAATGAATTACCTATAAATATAAATTAATTATTAACCCTTATTCATATAAGCCGATGCAAAATTAGGATCCAGTTGGGTTGCCTTGTCAAAACAAACTATTGCATCATTATATCTCCCAAGATTATTTAATGATAAACCTATTACAATAAATTAATTATGAACCCTTATTCATATAAGCCGATGCATCATTAGGATCAAGTTGGATTAACTTGTCAAAACAAACTATTGCATAATTATATCTCCCAAGATTATTTAATGAATTACCTATTACAATAAATTAATTATTAACCCTTATTCATATAAGCCGAAGCATCATTAGGATCAAGTTGGATTGCCTTGTCAAAACAAACTATTGCATCATTATATTTTTTAAGATTAT